AGTTTTTACAGTCCTGCTGTGATCCTTTTCCCTTATATATTGCGACTATCACGGCTTTGCACCAGTCTCCCGGTACCCGCTTAAGTTCCCAACATAAATTAAACAAGGTGTACAGCAGGTTTGCCACCACTCCTTCTCCAGCCCTTAGCATTTCGAGAGATACTCTATCATAACCGGCTGCCTTACCTGCTTTCATACTTTTCATTGCTTTCATTATTTCATCTATACTTATATCTCTATCTATTTCCTCTTCTTTCGGAATTTCTATTTCATTTAATTCAAACGTCTCATCACTCATAAACACGCTTTCAAAGTATTCCTTCCATCTCCTTAAACTCAAAACTTCGTCATTCAGAATACAGCCATTCTGGTCTCGTATAGCATTCATTCTAGGCTGTTGTGAATGTCCCCTGGTAGTTCTTACGAGTTTCCAGAACATTTTAATGTTTGCCTGGAAGTTATCCGATATTCTTCTATCATTCTTATCCGTTCTTTCTTGCTTTTTCCTTTCAACTACTTCTTTGACTCCCTTATTTAGGTGTCTAAAAACTGCCTTTGTCCTTTCAATATCATCATTCATACTGCTAGAATTACTAGCCTTGGTTGCTAGTAAATCTAGCCATGCTTTCTTCTTTGCTTCAACTTCCATCCGTACCTCATCATCCCACCATAACGTGTTATTTTTCCTTTCAATCGTTCTCTTACTTACACCACATATTTCGGTAGCTGCATCCACTAAACCTTTCTTGACATTATACCACACAGTCTCCAAGTCTAAATCATTCATACACAATTCAGCCACACCACTTATATTTTCTCGCAATCTACATTTGAACTTCTCTTTTTCGAAATTTCAACATAAAAAATATAAAATTTCGAAATTTCAACATAAAATAACACAAACCATAAATAAGTCACAAAACGTGAATGACTCCATTCAGTGTTGCTGCGCATACAAAAATAAAGTTCCCCGTGGTTGAGATTTTTATATGTTAATTTATTGTTACAATATTTTATAATATAATATATTTAAGTTATTATATGACCTATTTCTATATTATTTAATATTTATATTTGTAATATTGTTCAAATGGACTAATATTTATTGGTGTTTTTTATTAATTCATTTATTATTAAAACTAACCAAATTTAGTTGACTGGTAAAAATGTGAAAACGGTACAAACAAGAGCTACTTTTATAATGAATAGGTATAATATGTATAATACAGTCATTATTATTATCGTACTATGTTTGCTTGGTACAGATTTCCTGCTGATCCCTTTATTTTCAACCGTTGGACTGCTATAGTACGACTCACTCGACAAGAATGTTGATGGAAACCCGGAAAATGAAGTAATATATGTTCCGCTCATTTCAATAATAATAATAATAATAATAATGTTTATTTTATTTGCTCTCACAAGTTTACATTGCCTTTTAATAATATTGGAGGTATAAGCATTTTAATTTGTGAGAGCCTGGTGTTAGTATTAGGAAAGACCTGTATGACTAATCACCAGACTCTCGTCCCTTAATGTTAACATTTATCAACATACCTTTAACTTTAATACACTTCGTGCGACAATATGATTTATAATTGCAGTTTCTGTAATTAAAGTTATGGGTGTGTGTGTGTGTGTGTGTGTGTGTGTGTGTGTGTGTGTGTGTGTGTGTGTGTGTGTGTGTGTGTGTGTGTGTGTGTGTGTGTGTGTGAATGTGTGTATGTTTGTATAATATTTTAAATAATGGGAGTTACCAGAGATTCTGTTTCGGTGTAGTTTAAGCCCAAAAGCCATTCTGTTACTCTTGTTTTTAAAGAATATTTATTCATACAATATATTGGAATAGCCTTATTTATCCTGTTGTAAATAAGACCACCTAGATAACAGAAGAATTTACGAAAAAAATTTGTATTACATTTTTGACTCTTACAAACTATCCTACCACTTCCCGAGATTGGAGAAGACATGCTATTGTATGGTAGCGACGAATGTTTTTTTTTTAGAATAGTTTATAAAATAAAGATTTGGCTAACAGTAAGTATCCTGCAACGTTTGTATAGTTCATCCGTTGGAAATAAAAATGACAATGAAAACCCAACTTTTAGAATGGCTCTTTGCGTGCGTTCCAACCCTATAAGACGGGTTTTTGCTTCACCACCCCATGAAGTTATACCGTACAGCAAAAGAGATTGCACAAAGGCAAAATAAACAGTTTTGATCACTATTGTATCCGAAACATTTCTAAGGTTTTTAAAAACATAGATCAACTTTCTCAATCTAGATGCTAGTGTAGCTATATGTTTTTCAAACGTTAAGTTGTTATCTATTATAACACCAAGATATTTAACGTACTCAGATTTCTCGATAATTGGGCAGCTACACTGTATAATCGAGTCTGAGGCAGTCTGAGAGTTGGTAAAATAAGAGTTACAGGCAAAACAGGAGTGCACTTTTAGATGGATGTGATCCAGTGGAGGCTGATGGAAAAAGTTAAAAATTTAGTTTTTTCAATATTTAAGGTAAGTACGTTCTTGTTTAGCCAGTTCACAACAATATTTAATCCTTTTTGAGCGTTACTAAACGTCTGAGGCCAGGAATCACCATCAAAGATATGTGCCGTGTCATCAGCAAAGGTAATTATTTGTCCATTTGGAAGATTTAGATTGCATAAGCCATTTATGTAGGTTAAAAAGAGTGTAGGGCCTAGTATACTACCTTGTAGTACACCAAAACTAACAGGCAAATCTTTACTCACGTAGTCTTGCACCTTAACATACTGAGTTCTTTTCTGCAAATAATCCCAGAAAAGTTTTAGCTGGAGATCACGGATGCCAAGGCTTTCTAGTTTTTTTATCAGTGTGGGCAATGAGACTGTGTCAAACGCTTTGGCTAGATCAAGGAAGACGATCAATACTCTTTTCCTTGCATACACCTTGGTGACAACAAAATTGGTTAAGTTATGTATGGCAGCTTCAGCGGATTTGCCTGTCCTAAACCCAAATTAGTTACAAGATATTAGTCCGTTTGTTTCTAGGTATTTTATCAATCTGGTGTTCATAAGGCGCTCAAGAATTTTGGACAAAGCTGAAAGAATGGATATTGGCCTGTAATTACAGACACAGTTTCTGTCGCCAGCTTTGAAGATGGGATGGATCAGGGATTTTTTAAATGCCGTGGGAAAGACAGCTGTTGTAAATGAAAGATTACAGATGTATGTAATGGGACTAGTATATTCTTGAAGGCCTTTATAAAACTTGTTGATATATTATCAAAGCCTACTGCGCAATTGGATTTGAAGTTCGAAATGATACCTAGTACTTCGGATTCTGTAGTTGGTAGGAGTACAAACGATGAAGGAGTAGAGTTATAATAGCTGGTAGAGGTTAAGTTAGGATCATTATTCAATATTTTTTCAGCTCATGTCTTACCGATATTAACAAAGAACTGGTTTGCAGTATTTACAGCATCTATTGGGTTTGCAACATTTATTAACTCAGATGGGGGTAATATTTTTTTTTTGCTGTTTGTTATAATTTTGATCGTTTCCCATAATTTTTTATTATTCAGTTTTGCCTTTTGCAATTCAGCTTTCTTGTATTACGTTTTAAGTCTCCTCAGTATCTTATTGCAGTAATTCCTATATATCTTATATGTGACTTTTAATACTTCATTTTCCATATTGTTTTTAATTTTTTTATGTAGTTTGTCCCTGTTTCTCATACATTTCAAAAGGCCTGGTGTTATCCATGGTTTTATGATTCGTTTACCATTAGAAATTTTAATCATTTTGGTGTTGGTTTTTATGATGTTTTGCATCAAGCTCTTCCACTGTTATTTTAATATTTTTTATAGTACATGACTATACCTTCATTTTGTGAATTATTATTTAACGAGTTACAGGAAAAATAACTATTTATGGTGGGGTATATAAGGTGAATGAGAAAGCCAACATTCCGTTAAAACAATAATATCGTAAGTTATGTTGCTTCTGGCAAGTAGAGTGAGAAAGTTTGACATATTTCGTTGAATACTTCTTATATTTTGATGTAATATTTTTAATGGAAAATTAGAGTTGGGGATTACACACCGACAGTCTTCTATATTATCAAGTATGAAGGAACTAGATACAGCCAAATTATCTAAGTCATTATTTATTTTTTGAGATTATTGAATGTTATTGATAAAAACTATATATATATATATATATATTACGGAATTTTGAAAGTTGTATGTAGGGTGATAATATTATTTAAAGATATAGGATATAGAAGAGCAGCATTTATATTATTAATATTTTGTTTAATTCTGAACATTTTACGCTTATTATTTACAAGGAGTGAGCGAATAAAAGTGTGTTTAAAATCAAATGTAATTTAAAAATGTAATAAAATTAAAAATAATGTAGTAGAAGTAGGGTATGTGATTCGCAATTTAAGTTTAAGTATGATATTATGTATACTATAGACAATAATCACTATGTGTTTTTGATTGTAATTATTCATTTCATGTACTATTGCTTGATAAATACATAAAAGTAGCATACAAATGTATTTTTTATTAGTGTGCTTTCGGCTTAACAAATAAAAGATAAGATTTTTGTGTGAAATAGTATGATTGCGACATGGTATGAGGATATTATGAGTTTGTATTAAATAGTGTAAGCGCTTACTATAATATTTAAATGCGGTATATAGATAAAAATTTAGTAGAAAAATTAAAGTTAGTCATTTAATTAATCCATGTATGTCTTCTTCTTTTTCGATTCTTATAGCAGGTTTTCCTTCTTCTTTACGTGCGTACACCTTTCCAAATGCAGTCCAACAACGAACAATTTTTTCAACCTATGTAACTCTCTTGCTAAGTAGTGTAAACGTCTGAATTTGGATGTCAAAAATTCTGTAACATAAATATTTTTTGCACTCCGTTTATAAATATGTTCAACGTATTTAATTGACGTTCATTTTTTTCTTTTTTGTTTTATTGTATTCCTTAATTTTTTAAAGAAAATTTTCTTGCCGACTTGTAGACATGTAAGCGATGACGATAGTTTGTGTTTTAGTACGATATATATCTCTTATTTCCGCGTCTTGTAAATTAGGTTCTAACTGAACTATGGAACCAACTTTTTTTGAGATATCTAATAAAGTTCGGCGGTTCTCATTGTCTTGCTTAGGGATATTACGCATTTCTAAGTTTGTTGAACGAGAAAACTTTTCAAGATAATCAAGTTTGTTTTCTAATTCTTGAACATATTTCTTATAGTGGAGATTTTCTTGTTCGAGCACAGTCATACGTTGTAGCAATTCATCGTACTGTTAACATGAAATCAACCGATTTTTGAATGTCTTGGTTTTGTTGAACAACAGCTTGGATGGCCGAATCGAGAGCAAAAAATTTTGCAGTTTGTTGAGATTGGAGCGTTTTAAACATTTCCTTAATTTCACTCATAAATTTTTCGGAGCTATCGACCTTGTTTACAATATCCCCGTGTATGGGAGATTTCATACACTTCCTTTTTTGTCTCCTGGTTACCTTTGTATTTGTAACCTGTTCCTCATCATCAACAAAGAATGTATTAATGGAAGGGTCCGAGTTATACTGTGTGTTAATGGAAGTTCCAGCTTTCAGAGATTTAAGAAGCGGCATTTTTTCGAAGCGTAATATTCCGTTTAGGCCTAAATTTGCCGTCGGTAATTAATTCGGGCAGTGCAATCGTAGTAAAAAAGCGAGTGCAGGTGCGAGTGAGCAAGGAAACAAAGTGGGCGGGTTAATCACTATATGTAAAAGTCAAAGGCCTTAGCTGTCCCGCGTTTTGATTAGTTAATGGGTTGGGTCTGATTTTAGAAGATGCAATAAGATTATGATTATCTCGTTTTTTTAATTATCTGCCTTACTCACGCGCTACCGTTGTGTTGGTTTCGCTCTGCTCATAGACTCCTGGTATGTAATATTATCACTTTTGACTATTAAAGAAGTGGATTTTAATTTTAAAATAAAATAATATTTAATAAGTTTCGATACGTTCACTCTGTACGGAGGTCGAGGGACGAGAGGTGAGGTCAATGAGAGCGACTTCTACTTTACAAATGGTGGTTTGAAGCAATTGTTTAAGGGAGCTGTACCACAGATCGCATTATTTTGTCGTCAACACCATCGGATATTTCTAACAATAATACAGTAACTACAGAACCAAGTATACCAGTTCCAGTTGTCAGTTCTAGTAGTTCTACAGTGCTGTAACTGGAGAACAAAGCACGTCAGTTTCAGTTTTCGATGAAACCATTTTAGCTAATGGTAATGAAACTCCACCACTAGATGACTTTCCCGACATTGACTATATTTTTGACACACAGAGAAAGATAAGGCTTGAAAAGGAGCTTAATAAGAAAACAGTTCTACAATTAAAACATGCGAGAATAATTAAAATCTTGCGTGAAAAGACTCGTCGATTAAGAAAAACTAATTGTAATTTAAAAAATATTAGATATCAAACCTTTAAATCAAGAACGATTGTAACAAGCCTTCATCTAAAAGATTAGTTATATATGTGTTTAAGACTTTCAATACACACTAACATTCCTAAAAATCCAGTATTTGCTTAAGTGGTTTTTTTATAGGATAGGGTGATAAACGAGCACACAGTCCATCTGATGGTAAGTGGTTGCTGTGGCCCATAAACATCTACATCTATCCTCGTTTGCGAATCAAAATGCAGATGCGTTGTCACATGTGAGGACTAAGATAGAATGCCTCTTTTCCAGTAAAAAGGGTCTCCGGTTCTCTACACTCACCATACGAAACACAGCAGCGTTAAGCGGCTATTTTACGCTGGTATTCTGTGAGAGCGTGGTCCCACCCCGGTCGAGCCGACCCATTCGAGCTACAACTATACTGTTAATATAGTTGCAGCATGGCTCTACCACGTATAAAATTTATTTAATTTTTTTTCACGTATAAATTTTGCTTAAAATTGGTTTAAAACTTTTAATAATTATCCTTTTCTTGCTTGTATTCTTTAAGAAAACGCTTTCTAGAGGTTTTAATATTTAGGTTTGTAATATATTGTGTCGTATGTAATAAAGAATATTATCTTTATTTCCATTATAAATGGATGACTAAATCCATGTTATATACCCGGGGTACAAATTGGAGCACTCCTTTGTGCTTCCCGCTGGAGTTTGCGTGTACGTCAGAGAGGACATATGTTCTCGACGCTTTGGCAGTCTTGAAGGTTCGGACATATCCAACCTTTGGCTACGCGTAAACAGCGACCACCATCCGCGCGTCGTCACGGTAATGCCAAAACAGACCGACTCATCGACCACGTCCAAATGTCTACAGATTCCTTGCTACAACAGGTCCCATCCGCAGAGATCGTAATCGTCACGTTTAACCGATCATGCGGGGAGATCTGTTTATGACTTTGCCTTGGCATATGGTCTGACACAACTGATTACTTCGCCTACGCGGATTCCAGATGTGGAGGATCATACACCTTCCCTATTGGAACTTCTGCTGACCTCTCATCCGGACGGATATCAGGTTTCAGTCGATGCCCCTCTCGGCTCTTCAGACCATTATCTGATCCGTAGTGTGGTGCCACTCACGCTCCCCATTATTCCATCATCTGTGGTACCCATTGGAGGCAGAGCTCAGCCTTGGTTTGGTCGCTCCTGTAAGACTGCATTATGCAGTAAGCAGGAGTGTTATCAAGCCTGGTCTGCGGCTTCGGCGACTCATGATGTAAACACCAGCACACTTAAAAAGAAGTATAACTTCGCCTCCAGGTCCTTCAAAAGAGTTATTTCCAAGGCAAAGTCAGAGCACATAGGCAGAATTAGCGAGAAACTAGTTTGCCTTCCTTAGGGAACCCGTGCATTCAAGTCTCTCGCCAAGGCTATCAAAAGGAATTTCTGTAAGCCATCACTACGATCTCTGCACAGGGAGGACGACTCACTGGCCCAAGCCGCAAAAGACAAAGCCGATCTTTTAGGCTCCCTTTTTGCGTCCAACTCGACTCTTGATGACGGGGGGAAAACACCGCCGGCCATCCTGCGGTGTGAGTGCTCCATGTTGGAAGTGCTGTTCTCACAGCACTCGGTTCGCAATGCACTCCTCTCCCTGGACCTCCAGAAGTCGAGTGAGCCTGACGGAATCCCCCCAATTGTGCTGAGAACTTGTGCTCCGGAGTTGCACCGGTCCTAACGCGTCTTTTCCGGTAATACAGTAGTATTCGGGACTCCCAAGGCGTAGTCCTGAATTCATGGAAGACAACTTTTGTCCCCCGATCCCTAAAAAAGGCGACCGCTCAGACCCGTCCAACTACAGGCCTATCGCCATCACCTCCTTATTCTCCAAAATAATGGAATCCATTATTAACTGCCAGCTCATGCGGTACATTGCGGATCACCAGCTGATTAGTGACCACCAATACGGTTTTCGTTGGGGTCGATCAGCTGGTGATCTTCTGGTCTACCTGACCCATAGATGAGCGGAGGCAGTAGAGTCCAAGGGGGATGCGTTGGCCATTAGTTTGGACATTGCGAAGGCTTTCGATCGGGTTTGGCGCAAAGCGCTTCTTTCGAAGCTCCCTTCCTGTGAGCTTCCCGAGAAATTGTACAATTGGATCACCAGCTTCCTTGCAGATCGGAGCATCAAGGTCGTTGTAGACGGTGCATGCTCCGACTACAAGCCTATTAACGCTGGTGTTCCACAAGGCTGTGTGCTATCACCAACGCTGTTTTTTCTGCATATCAATGATATGTTGCTAACTGGTAATATTCATTGCTATGCGGATGACAACACTGGTGATGCTTTATACACCGACCGTGCCAATATTTCTCGGAAAAACGTCGCTGAGTACCAGAACAAACTTGTGTCTGAAGTCGAGTCTTTGCTGAACAAAGTCTCGGATTGGGGGCGACTAAATCTAGTCCAGTTTAATCCTCAGAAAACACAAGTTTGCGCGTTTACCGCTAAAAAGAATCCCTTTGTCGTATCTCCTCAGTTTCAAGGCACTCCCTTTGTTGCCTCAGCCAGTATCGGAATACTCGGGATCAACATATCGAGTGACGTGCAGTTTCGTGGTCACTTAAAAGAGAAGGCCAAATTGGCCTCTAAAAAGCTTGGCGTGCTCAGCAGTGCGGGACAGTATTTCATGCCGGCACACCGTCTGCAACTTTACAAGGCGCAGTTTCAGCCTGACATACTGTTCCCATCTCTGGGCAGGGGCTCCCCAGTGCCAGCTACTTTCCCTCCACTTGACCGCATCCAGCGCAGAGCTGCTCGAATCGTCGACAACGGAGTCCTTTTCGATCGGCTCAATTCATTGGCACTGCGAAGAGATGTTGCATCCCTTTGCATTTTCTTTCGTATTTACCACGGGGAGTGCTCTGTGGAATTGTTCGGATTAATCCCAGCCGCCAAATTTCACGAACGCACATCGCGGCAGAACTCCCGATACCATCGACACCGTCTGGATGATTGGCGGTCCACCACTGTGCGATTTAGAAGATGTTTTCTTCCTCGCACGACTACCTTGTGGAATCGATTACCATCAGCGATTTTTCCGGACCGATACGACTTAGGGACCTTCCAGAAAAGAGCCTACTCCTTTTTAAAAGGCCGGCAACGTATCTGAAATTCTCCTGGTTCCCCTGGTGTTGCGGTTGTTCATGGGCGGCGGTAGTCACTTACCATCAGATGAGCCGCATGCTCGCTTGCCCCCTCTCCTATAAAAAAAATGTTGCTTTAAATCCCTGGTATTGAATATATCAAATAAAACTACTAGTCACATTTTTTTGATAAAACATCGCAAGATTTCTCCAGCAACGGGATTCACTACCTACAAGACGGCGACAAATTATCGAACAAGAGGGCACATATAATATATCATAGTTAAGTATAATTAGACTATGAAACAAAAATGTCTTGAATTTGTATATAAAATACGAAGGAACTTTTTCCCCGACCTTATATTCTAAGTATATAAGGTGTAGCAAAATGGTGCTCAATAGTTTAGAGTCATTCCCTAAGTTATTGAGCACTATTTTATTATGCAGAACTGATGTGAGTGGTCGTCCGATCAAGAAATGAGTAGCGGAAAGATAGGAGAGATCAGAAGGATCTGAAGACAGAGGGGTCAACGGTCTGGAATTTAAGATGGCCTCTATCTGACTCAGACGCGTCGAAAGTTTTTCATAAGTTATATGAGTAACTATCACCCTATCCTATAAAGTAAGACCGAGAGTACAACGTATAAGATGTTTGGTCGACTTTACTGCTGCCTCCCAAATGCCCCCAAAATGAGGTGAATAAGGTGGTATAAATTTAAAATTTTTGGTCGACTTTACTGCAGCCTTGGTTTGCAATGTCTGACTCTATATCATTGTAAGATAATTATAAAAATCGATTCAGCTCATTGAAGCTCCTACAAAGGTAGTGCCATTATCGGAGTACACGCGTTGAGGCTTGCCACGTCGTGCGACAAACCGACTAAAGAAACCAGCTCCAAGTGGACGGCTCTGACTGCAAAGCTCACAAAAAGACAAATATAAGACTTCAATAGCTTACAACCTCTGCCTTTTTAGACATTTTTTAGCACTGGCCCGGCAAAATCTAAGCCTGTGGTTAAAAATGGGAAATCA